AGAATCAGGAGGCTGAATAGAAGAAAAAAGGTGTATGTATGAGATCTAGAGAACAACTAGTTTCTGTTATATGACAAATTGTTTGTGTCAAAATGAAACTGGTTGAAACAGCCGATGAAGGATATAGAGGATTCATATAGCTTATCACACTAGTTTGGTATTGAGATCCAGCTGATCATTGATTAGTTGATCCTCTTTTGTTTTTTTCTGTTTTGGGGGAAGGGAGTTACGAGCTCTCTCTTCTCGCCACCTCATTTCTAAATTTAAGAAAATGAGTAAATGATTCTGGCAGTAGCAGCTGGAACATTGCATCAGTGGGACAATTAATATGGCAGATTGTAATGAATAAGGAAACCTTGTGGGTAAAATGGGTACATGGAATTTATCTTAGAGAGGAAACCTCGATATGGAGTCACAGGGCACCTATCGATAGTAGTTGGTATTGGAGGAAGCTTAATGCAATAAAGGAACAAATACATGGCTGGTATTGCAAGGGAACAGGTTCCTCTACAGGTAACTGCAGAATCATCAACTGGAAGCAGATGAGTAGTTGCTGGTGCTGGAATGGCGAAGCAGTGTATTTGTTCACCAACAATCCATCCAGGCTCGTTTAGGTGCATGCATCATCATGCTGATTATAAATGGGTTGTTCCACTAGGAAATAAGCAGAATCACTTTGGTGCTTCTGTCGCCAAGGCTCTATGACAATTCTACTGTACAAATTCGAATTGTCATTTGTAATTTTTTGTTTTTTAATACGATGTAGATGATCTTGTTCGTACGTCTCAAATATTTACTATGTCCCAATTTATGTGAAAATGTTACGAGTGTTTAGTTACAAAAAGAGATTTGCAATTATTATTGTTGTGATATGTGAATTTAAATGGATAAAAGATGTATGGCAGGGGATAACACAGTGGACAGGCATAACAATGACAAACAATGGGATTAAACAGGTTTTGGAGAGAACAAAAAGGAAGCATTGGAAACAGTTTCAGAAAGAGACATTTGCAGCTATATGTGGGGCTATTCTCTACCACACATGGCGTGCAAGAAACTGGAAAAAGTTTAAAGGGAAGCATGTACATACAGA